AAAATTGATGCTGACCTGCATGTCGACTTTGATGAATAACAGAGAGGATAACGGACACAGATTGTCATTCATTGTTGTACCACATTCACAATTTCACTTGAAGTCAATAAAAAGAAACACGCTTTTTTCCGATAAATTTGTATTTATCGAAGTTTTATTTTGTCTCTTACGAATCTAAGTTAGTTGGAATAATGAAAAACTGGTCTCAAGCAGACAAAGCTCGGCGATTCCAAAACGATGGAACTGAGAACAGAAGAAGAATAAAAAACTTCTATTGGTAACCGAAAAGCAGTTCAACTATTGCATAATTTTATGCCAGACAGATACGCTACGCTACATCAGCAGTAAACTTTACGTATTTCTTACACTTGAATGGATAGAGAGATGATAACATCTTAGAAATGAACAGTATTTGATTAAGATTCACCTCAAATATGGAGCGTCGCCGAAGAAATAATTTTTGAGATAAAGACGTGATGCGATACTCTGATATGTGTTTTCATAAGCAGTGTGCTTCGAGTCGTGTTTCCTGATCAAAAGGAGATCTTTTTCGTCATAAAAAACAGTTTTTTGCCTAAAACACACGTTTTTCATCTTATCAGTGGATTTTCTCACAGTAGTTATGCAGTGACTCGTCTTCAATGGTATCCTATTACAGTAGGACATACATTTAAATAACTTGTTTTTTTACACTTTATACTTAGGATAAACAATTCTTCTTCTTTTACAAAAAAAAATAGACCCTCATGATTTTATTGAAACTTTATCACCACTTGGCTAATTCTATAAACCTTCTCAGCGTTATCAAGAACTCTTTCAATTCATAGATGTTTGAGGACTAAAGAAAATAGACAAAAAAGACTCACGAGAATCACTAGACTCGAGTGTCTTTTGTAGATGAAGAAAGAAGAATAGACTTTCTCAACTAATGTGACTGGTTGTTGTTCGAGATGTGAGAATGTCCAAAAATCGTTGTAGTTCCTCCTATGAGTGAAACATAAGGCTGTTTTTCTTTTCATATTTAAGTAGGCACTCTCAATATGTACACGAAGTTTTAGTTCAATAGTCTGTCATAGCTTGAGGATCCTGTTTTGCGGAGAGCTTAAGCAGTATGTGAATAGGTCCTAGGATGATCTATATGAATCATTGGTGTATGACCTCAACGTGATAAATTTCATTCATTCACTAGATTGAATTCTTATGTTATTATAAAGAATTAAACAAATAATACATGGTCACTTATATTTAGGAAAAGAATGACCAAATATGTTTATTACAGTGATTTCATTCTGTATGCTGACATTGCTGGTAAGTGTAAAAATCCTCTTGTTAAAATGGATGGTTGTATATTAACGGAAAAACTAAACGGCTTATTACCAGTTGTGATTTTCTTATTCTTTCTGTGTTTTATTTTATCTCGAGGAAAATTGGGATGATTTTTTCCGTTATCCTAATAGAGTTTGAATTTTCGCGACTTTCTCGTTGAGATCTAAGGTTCGAATGAGATTATTATTCAAAATGATATGAAACACGACAGTTAGTTTCACGTTCATAGGCCAGTCACAGTAGCACAATGCATTTTGTGAATGAAACACGGTTGATTTTCATAAAAAAGGAAGAGAATGAACAGTGTTGATCAGCTTTCTGCTATGTTGAGTTAGGTGTGCTAATAGCAAAAGAATCTGTGCATCAAACAGTAATTTGAAAGAAAAATGCGACAACAATAGTTAATACACTTAGAAGCTATTATATCAACGACTGGATTGATCGAATTGAGTATTTGGATGGTCTTTCTCTTTTTATCGCATTCAAAAAGAGAATTTTTTATGGTAGACACCTAAAACAGCTTCTGAAAGAAAAGTTTTCGACAAACCTTGATCACTTGAAGATTTCGAGAAAGATAATTTCGAACAAGTTTATTTGGTTGGTATTAGTTAGTCTCAATAGATTTTGAGAATAGTTTTCTCACATGAAACTTCAAATTGGAATCTGAAGAGCGTTTCTGATTAACAACTAAAGTAAAACTCGACGTTTTTATCTGTAATATATAGAATCAACTGTGAAAGGTTAGTGCATTTATTTCGTCACTGAAATAGCTATTATACAAGAGAGGCAAACAATGACTTATGATACCAACATATTCGATCACAAGCAATTGCTTCTTATCTATCTTAATTGATTACTTGCATGATCGGGTATCAACAACAATATTTTTATTGAAATATAGTCTTTCATTTTGTTAGTTGGTAATTTCAATATTCAAACAGGCAGTCATGTGATCAGAGACTGCGCACGTTGAGTCATTAGTGTCTAAAAATTGATAATTGACTAAAAAAATTCATATACTGAAAATATAGTTGTGGGTAGTTGAGGATGAAAAGAACACATCAACACCTACATCCTCCTTTTCAAGCCCACTCAATTTTTTTGTTCGACAGTCATGATTTGTGTATGTTACATTTTGAAGCAGTTCCAAGTCGACGATATGTTGAGTATTCAATGCTCTATAAAACGATCTATTACAATAGGCTTGGAATCGAATGAATAACAGGACTTCTTGGTTTGTATGAATACTATGTGGTCAAAAAATCAATTTTTCAAAGTCTCCTATTTCTTATGCAACAAATTTAGTGTCTTTTCTTAATGATAGAAAACTTACGGACAGAAATATCTTTCACCTTTGGCTTTTAAACACTGTCAAATATATGACTTATTTCTAATTCATTCTAAGTCATAGATGTACGCCGATCACGTATTTGAAAAAGTACAAAGTTGAAATTTTAGTTAACTATTTGTGACTCTCAATAACTATGTTTCAGTGATTGAAAAATGAATAAATATTTTATATCAAGACTTTTGAAATAGGAGTTACACTGATAATTTTATTATAATTTATCAGAATATGATGTTGATAAATTTTAATAATAAATAAAGAAAATTTCGACGATGATTATTTTATAAGTATTGATTCTTAATATAACAATTATGGTTTGTTCAATTGGTTGTAGATGAGTCTTAAATGAATAAAATTTTCCTATTAGATAACTACGAGGAAAAAAACCATGTTCAACTATTGAATTGATTTCGAAAAGACTTAGATAATAATCTGCAAGTGAATATCAAAGATTGCATTTAGTTGTAAAACTTGATTGATACAACATTTCGAAATAAATCTATTTGAAAAATAGATAGTTTAATCATAAATTCTATTTCCTTTTTTTCATATAGAATGAATAAAGTATCTGTTATTATTGATTAAAATCAATATATGAAGAAATACAAAAATCAATATTAGAAAATAGCGATGTGGTTCAGAACATGCTTTTGGACAGTATTATTAGTACATTAATGCTAATAATAATCATACACATTATTGTGCCCATCATATTCCAGTTTCGAACTTGTTCTGAAGCCTTCATTGTACCTTGAAAATTGTTTTCTTCGTTTAAACGTTGGACATTATCCCCCATAGGCACATGCCACGATTCCAAAACATAGACAGCAGCAGAACATGTTCAATAAAGACTAAACTACATAGGTTTCTATCTGATCTATAGATCGAGTTGGAGTTAATCGTGCCTCTACGAATGCTTGTCTACATTTATCATTGTTACTCGACCCTGATTCAGATTGATAATATACTTGAGGAGAAGTATTTGTGTTGTATAAGTATGATTCATAAGGAAATAGTTCCATACAACCGACAGTTTTTTTTGTAGTTGATTTTTCGATGAAACATTGTTAACGGTATTAGCCATTCTCTATAAAGCTATAAATAGAGGTTTGTCATCAAACTAATTTTCATTCAATGATTTACTTCCTTCTTATACATTAGTCAAACGAGGGAGAAGTAGAAAAACAAGAAGAAAAGAAAAAATGTTATGATATTTTCAAATCATAGGCAGTGTTTGTTATATCTCGTCTACAGTATTTAGTCACCAAGCCAGACAGGTAAAAAAACATGATTAACTATCTCAGCATGCATCATGATCAATAGCTTTGACATTTAATCATCTGCGCAACAAGAAATAAAGAACTGCCTGAATAAATATAACACAGGAAATTGAATCTTTGACCATTGGCACAATGCATAAAGCGTGTAAATAATCAAATAAGTTCTTATCCTTATTCTGACTATTATTGGACTTCCATTTAAACAATCCATCAAATCATTAAAAACCAAATCAGTAGATAACAAAAATAAATGATGCACTACTAAATAACTTATCACGTATTAATATCAAACGAACATAGAATCGACAAAAAAAAAGGTAGGTGTGGATGTGTGACTTGTAACGTGAAGCATTTTCTTCTATGTCCACGAATTTTCATACTCACAATCATCCTTTTACATTAGAACTTTATTCACAAGTACATGTTGTTGTTCCTTGGTTGATTAGTTATTTTTTATAATTATCATCTCAGTTTCAATATTTAATTTCTTTTTAACGTCATATGAAATATCAATACACACTTGATTAAGCGATCAGATTCAATCCAAAATGCATATAAAAGTTAACAATTTCAAGACATTGGAGAATCAATCAAATCAATTTTTAACAAAAACTTTTTACATGATTGTTTGATTACACGAAATATCAAATATAATGTCAGTACTCAGTATGTCTTTAGAGCTTGATTGTACAATAAATAACAATTCAAATCATATGGATTTGTTCAAAAAGAAATCTCAATACAAATCTACTGTTCACACATGCTAAGGAAAAAAAAGATCCTATTTATTTTTTCTATGTATGGATTAGTATATCACAAATCTACTGTAAAGCAATAGAAAAAAAAACATTGAATCATATGTTAAACAAATATAATACTATGAGCGATTCCTGCAATAATTCATAATAATAATAGTACTAAGGATCAGATGTACACGGAATTAAAACACAAAAAAAATGACAATATAGTCTATGTCGGAAATTAGTACACACACACACACCAATGGATATTATTTTGTTAAATATTTGTTTTTCATGAACTTTTGATTAATTTTCAGCACAACATGGTTTTTTTAGCGAATAGTTTAATGTTGGTGAATGACCACCCCAATATTTATTCATATTTTGTTGAGCACGTTCAAGTGTTTGTGATGCTAAACTACAACTTGATGTTAATGATCGAGCTGAATTCACTGACAGAACATCATCATCTATCAAAAAAAAAAAGAAAAATAAGAATGTATTTGATAGAATATATAAAACATAACAATTTGTTGTGAAATACGATCTAATAGGAGTGCTAAAATATATATGAAAGATATTTGTACCTCAATGAGATTAAGTATAAGGATGTTGAAGAAATATGTCTCACAATACAAAGAATAAAAAATAATCTCCATATGATTAGTATCCATAGCTATACTGTGTTTCACATTTTAATCCCACAGAGATTGTACTAAAAACTTTTTACCTTTACAACGTGTACGATAAGTTTGATCGTAATTTTCATTAAGTGAATGTAAATGATTTTGAAATGAAGGTCTTGATGTAGGTGTATGTTGATGTTGTTGTCTATTGTCATCTCTACCGTAATAATATTCTGTTACTTCATCTTTAAATCGACTACCTGGATATGAACAATCTATCAAAAATGAATTTTTAATATGTTAAAAACAACAAAAAAAAAGTAAAATTTAAGATCCTTTACATTCATTCATACTGGTATAAGGACGTTTATCAAATATCTGTGTATCATAACTTGGTCGACCAGTAGCATTATGAGATTCCTGATTATTTGTTGCTGAACGAGTAGCAAATGTATTAAATTCATTTGGCTACATTTTAAAAAAAGTGACATCAACAGAAATATTAATAAATGAATTTATACTTGAATTGATCGTTGATTTGTTTGTGATGAAATGTAACCATCGTTGAGATTGTTTTGTTGTCGTTCAATGGATGTTGGCGAATGTGTTCCTGTTCCTCGAGATTCTTGTTTTTTCGATAATCCTTTACGAATAATACTTTTTCGATTTGCTAAATTATCATTTGTATACTGTTTTCGATATGAGTCTCTAATTACAAGAAAAAACAAAAACTCAATTGACGATAGTAAAAGAATAGTAATGGTAATACGAACATATCTGAATTTGTATCTTGACTATAAAGACTTTCCGAATCCCATGACATATGTTGTTGAATTGATGATGAACCAAGATTACGTACAAAAGCTTTTGTAGCTACACTTGGTTGTTTTGGTGGTGGTTCATCAATATAAACGATACGATCAGTTGGATGTTCAGTTTGAACTGTTTGATCCGTTTTATATGTAAATGCTTTTTCAGTTTGTATTGGCCTTAAATATAAAGAAAACGACGAGTTTTTCTTTGTAAATATATAAATGAGATATATATTTGTGCTTATTCTACTTGTCATAGTGAATTTGTTTATGTTGTTTTCGTCTTGCATCTTTCTCACGACGACGTTCACCTTCAATACGTTCTCGTTCTAAATCACTATTACGAAAAAAAAAAGTTCTTACTAAAATATTCTTATATTTTAAATTCTAAATAGCTTTTCGATAGTTTCTTACCGATCAATTGAAATAACACTAATAGTATCACTATCATCATCATCGTTCCATTCTCGATAGTTATTTTCTCCATTGAAGCCTGTTTGTAATTGAAGATTATAATCACGATTGAAATGATCTTTTTCTGCATTAGCACGATATTCATTAGCTCGTTTTCGTGTTGCCATTAATTCTTGATACCAAAATAAATTTGGATTAAAACCTGTTTCATCCTAAATAAACAATGAAAAACATGAACAATTGAAATGAAAAAATATAATAAAATAATTGATTTACTGCTGCTGTATCTTTATACCATTTACCATTCTTATAATCAAAACGCCAGAATGGTTTATATGTTGCTTGATATTCGGATTTCCAACGTCTAACGAAGAAAAACACATATGAATATGAAAATTTAAACTTTTTCAAAAACCTTAATTTTCCATGTGGATATTTTTGTCGAAATTCATCTCCTAAATCAATATTTCTACCAATATCTTCATCATCGGTATGAGCATGATCAACTTTTACAAACTTTTTTCGTTTCTAAATGTACCAAATGTAAACATATATAAATATGATTTGAATTAGGCATGCACCAGTCACATCCTGATGTATTATCGATCCCATTAAGTTTTGTTCGATTGGATTGAAAATTTTTTTTTTTGAAGAGACGAAAGACTATCGGAACTTTTTTGCAAATCTTACTTTCTGTCTTCTTTTTATAAGAAAAATACGTCAAGGTTCAAAGCGAAGATCTGAGAACAACAGTAAAAAAGATTAAAAGTGGTTCATTCTAACTCTGAAGAATATTTCCAAGTATCTGTACTATAAATCTCGACCCTATTGAACGAAGTTAGATAGGATTGTAATGCATCAGGATGCGGTCCTATGGGAAATCAAAGTTCTTGCATAAAACTTTGATTTTCAGATCATTTATTCCACTGTGTACAGATCTACTGCAGTCAAGCACGAAATTCCTTGATTCTATATTCTTTTATAAATTAACTAAAAATGACTGCTTTCAAAATAGAACCACAACATTCGGATTCGAGGCACGCCTAAAATTAAATAAAAAAAAACTTTACTCGTTCGTCAACTTCCTCAGCTTCAAATGCTTTTCGTTGTTTTGGATCAATAATTCGTCTATGACATGCTCGATATTCATGTCTTTTATCTCTTGTTGGCCGAAAAGGCTTTGTTGAATCAATAGGAGTTCGTTTTGCGTGTTGTTTATTTGCATGAACATCGATCTCTAAACGTGATGGTGTATTGACACCTTTAGAAATTTTTTCCGACGGATTAACAATAGATGATGGCTTCATGATGTCGAAACGGCGATCATTCTGAAAATATTATTTTAAAAATATAGATTTGAAAAAAATTAAATCAAACCCATTGAGAATTTTCTATAGGTTTTTGATCATGAACTGAAATATTTGGTGGTTGTGTCCAATTGTATTTATGTTTATATTCACTTTTTGGTTCAATTCGTTTCTATAATATGAAATGAAACAAAGAACAAAAGTTTTCTATTATAAAAAAAAAATAAAATAAAATTTACTCTATGTCGATGATCATAGGAAATACTAGCTGCTTTATCAAGTTCCTAAATACAAGAAAATTATAATCATACGAATAATATTCGACTTTCTATTCTCACATACAGTTTGAATACCACATGAATGATTTTCATTTTTACGTCGTCGTATTACAACCTAATTTTAACAGTACATAAAATCATGTATAAATATAAAATTTTATCTTAAATTTAATTATATAGTTCGTGCAGGCATATAAGGAATAATTATATTTTGTTTTACATTGATGATTGTAAAGATTGAGTATATGTGTATTAAAATTCATTGCAGTTAAACAAAATAATATTATGATTGTTTTATTCTATGCCTTCTTTTTTCAAAAATTTTCATCATTTTTTCCCCTTTGATTGCGCAAACTAGAACTCTCTATGTGCGTTCATTCTATATTTTTAATTGTTTTCTTGTTTGAAATAGCATGTCAAGATGCAAGACATGAGAGTTTTTTTTTTGAATTAAACATTGTTACTACTATATAAAAGAGTACTTTCATAATGAGAGCACCATTTTTTGAGAACTTTTCGAGACAGTAAATTTTTCTTTCCTCAAAATGATGAATTTAAAAATGATGGTTCTGTCATGCTCTACATCTTGACATGTTTTTTGAAACAAAAAAGAAGCAAGTCTATAGAATGAAGTTCAACAAAGAATTTTGCGTTGTCAAGTGAGCGACTTTTGGCTGTTGAGTATTTCCACAAAAACGTCATGATATGGAGTTAACAATTTCATTCGATTTGAATGTCGCCGACTCAAGATCAATATTTTGGAATTGAAAAACTTGGGAACATGTCTTGCAAAAAACTTCATAAACTTCTAGTTGATAAAATTCTTTTGTGCGCTGCTTCATATTTAGCCCCCCCCCCCCCCAGAAAAGTCAATTGCGGTCAAATTTATCGATTTTGTGATTTATAACTCGTTAGATAGAGCAAAGTGTCTACTCTCGAATGTACTATAGTCGATTGATTTTAGGATGAGATTTAAGGATATTACATACGATTTTCTGAACCTCCATATTGAAAAAATAAGGTTTTTAAAAACTTATTTTCCGTTTTTCTCAAAATCCATTTTTTCGACTATACTGTTTACGCGGGCAAACCTTACTCAATAACGACTCAATATAAAAGTGGTAATGCTTTTTTGTTGTAGAGCAGACACTTGGAGCTAGATCGTAATAGAGCCCGATTTTTGAATTTCTCCTTTGTTTAAATAAAAAACTTAGATCTTTTATTTTAATTAGCGATTCTTTGTCCACGAATTTGAGAATTTTTCAAAAAGATTTTTTTAAAAATCAAACAAAGGGAAATTAAAAATCGGGCTCTGTTACGACCTAGCCCTAGGGGTACTCTACAATTTAAAAACCACGCCGACATGCTAAGCTAGTATCCTCATGTTGAAAACCTTGCCCGCGTAAAGGGTATTTTTGATTAATTAATTGACTATAACTTGTGAATGACTCGCAGATTTCGAGAGATATTTTAACCATAATCTATTCTAGTCAAGACTAACATTCTCTGAAATTTTGGTTGAAATCGGATGAAAAATAACAAAGTTGGTTTCTGAGGGGGGCCCTCCCTTACAAAAAAGTTACAAAATCTACAAGTTTGGAAAAACTAAAAAGGTTGAGCTTTTTAAAATAAAATGTTTTCATATGCAATATCATTCAAAAGTATAACAAAAGCTAAAAGGATCAGACATAGTGAGACACAAAATAATCACTTTGGGTTTCTAGATAATCAAAAGCCCTAATATTTCAGCGTCTATAAATCAGACATAAAATTTACTACCGTCAAATGTAATACTAGAGTAAATAATTCTCTATTAAATGAGATGTCCTTTAGTTTTCTACGGCGTGCTTTGTATATAAGTTATCCCTCCCATCTCTTCTAAAGTTTTCTTGAGTGGCAAATGAGAGTATGTCTGATTGATCTATCCATACTATTAACATTCCAGAGACACCTATTCCCTATTTCAACCATGGTTTCATCAATGACTCTTCCGGCGTCGCTACGAGATGTGAAAATTTACAAATAAATCTAAGTTGTTCAACGATGTGTACGTATCTATCTGTGGCATGCTAAAACACACAATGAAAGATTTATTTTCATTGTCAAACAAAGATACTTTCGGGTATAACATCTCTATGAAAGAACCCTACATAAGATAGAACTACGAAACTTTATCTGATACACAATCAACTAGAAACACAAATAGAAAATACAAATCATGTATTATAGTATTTCTCGAAATGGTTATTTGAAGCTATTCGATTTTTTTTAGAGAGAAGAACTAAAATTTCACAAACGGTTCATAAATGTTTTTCTTTGCAGAAAGTAACTGCGAAAGAACTGTTTTCGACCTTAATTAGAAGAAATTGGCTGATAGAAAAGAATCAAAGGATTTTGTCAAGAACTTCCTCTTTTTCATCAAAAATCTTAGGCAAGCAAATATTTTAAGCATGTAACTTCCACAACGATTCCAGAAGAGCAAGTGATTAAATAATCTTATAAATAGAGAATTAATCTCTCGAAATGTTAATAGTGTAGTCAGATCCATCCGACGTCCTGCTTGTGGTATAATAGAGATTGAATGACATGAGAAGCCTTGATTTTTTTTCTTTCATGACAACATTGAATGCTTCTCATAGGATGAGATTTACTATACATGCATGAACTGTATTCTTGATTGTTCTGTGTCAATCGATAGCACACAATAAGCCCTATTCGATGGTGTTAGAAGAATACCTTACTTTAAAAAATTCAGTTTCTGTGGAACTCACATATATTTTTGAAGAAAACTCAATGAGTGTATGTTTAAATCGAGGTTTTTGTGGCTCCTCCTTGTCTTAGATCCTAGTAATCAGGATGAAAGTAGCGAAGCAAAAGATCATTATGTGCGTCTCCATAGCAACGAAAAAAAGGTACGTCAGTGGTGACAGTATTTAGATCATTCTAGAACTTTCTAAAATCTTCTCAAGCCTTTTATGAATCTAAAATTTCTACTGTAGACCCTGGCTAGTTAAAATGTTGCAGGTGCTGGTATTGAATGTAGCGAAGAGATCTTATAGTAGGTGCCAATCATTCGAGCCATGATATTATTGACTCAGCAAAGTCAGAAAAGTGCGAACTAATTGAATTCAAAGTTTAGGAAAAGCTGAACAATGTATGTCAAACTTCGCTGAAAGAAAGGATGATGTGCTCAGAAATTCAATCAATATATATAGTAAACTAATATAGTGATTGAACGGACGAACCAAAGAATAAAATGATATTTGTTGCTGCTGACGAGATATATCGCATATATTGTCTTGAGGAGAAAATAAGTTATGTATTGAAAATATATCTGACCATGCAAAGAAGTTTTTTTTTCAATATAACGATATTAAATAAATCGGTAGAATAGAGTGTGAATACTAGTCTAAGTGTTTTCTTCATCGACACCTACGCTCATATTCAAAATATTTTTTTTGTGGCTTTCATATTTTAGTTTTTGTAAACGATCTACAAAAGAACACTTTAGTAACCAGTAAATGGTAGAACAATGTTTATTTATAATGAAGATCTCTTACTCTAGGTGAATCTCTTATAATGGGATTTCTTAATCGATAAATAACATTATCTGCAAATTTTTCATTTCTTCCTAAAACAACATATTCTTGAGATTTAGCAACACGTGGATAATTTTTAAATGGCTGTTTCAATCGATAAAGAGATGACTGAGAAAATTTTTCATTTGGTCCAATAACAGCAAAATCATTATCATCATTATAATAACGATTTGGTGATAATCGACGACGACGAGATGGTGATGATAATGAACGTTTGATTGGTACTTAACAAAAGAAAATAAATTAGTTAACACACAAAAGAAACTATCAAAAGACCTTCGCTTAATTTTCGCTCTTCAGCTGAAAGTTCATGAAATTTTTTTGGTGAACGATTTTGATAATTTCGTTGATATTCAGTCTAAATTTCAGAATTAAACATTTTCTAAAACCTTTTGTTTTTCTTGATTTTATATTCTTACTTGATACTTCATGTTGCGGTTTGTATGAAAGAAAAAAAATCATCAGAAAGCGCTATCCTATCGTTTCATAGATCATATCGTTGTCATATCAACTTAACGGTTCATAAGAAGTTTATTCAAATTTATTAGAAATTAACTTTTTAAAACTTTTTTTGCATCTTTAAATAAATAATTTCAATTAAAAAAAAAACTAACAACGACATCTATTAATCAAAATAGAACTCGGAAGGTCGTTGTGTTGTTTTGTATTCATTCAGTTCCGACAACGCGATGGGAAAACGTACGAGTACAAAAAGATTGTCTCCAATGTCTGATTCAGGTGTTAAATAAATATTTCTTATTATATATATATATATATATATTTCTTTTTCTTTTTATCTTAGCTTCAAGAGCAATTGATCTAAAAGCTCGAAAACGTATTGAAGAGTTGTATGAATTAACTGATGAAATAATTAATGCTTATAACGAAGTAAATGAAACATATGTTAATAAGGTTTATCGAAAATATAAACAATTACAAGAAGTGAATAAAAAATTAAAACAACAACTTAGCCATCATCATTGTCCAGGTTGTAAATGTACCATTCCATCCACCGAAGAGTTACAAGAACAGGAAGAAGATGATGAAAGTGAGAGCTCTATGATAGATGAACAAGATCGAGAATACAAACTAAGAGAAAAATCTTCTGCATCATCTCCAACAACACATTCCATAATAACACGAAGCAGAAACAAAAATCGTTAGTTTACCTCAAATTTTTGAGTTTATTACTATTGTTTTCTTGCATACATTTTTCTTTAGCTTTTGTCATATCCGACATCGAAGATACACAAGTTTTGGATCCTAATGATAGTCGACTTACTAGTAAGTTTTAAAAGATATTTAAATGACAAACATACGCACATATACAGTTTTTTTTATTAGGAAAAACTCGTAGTAATAGTAATGACAATAATGATAGTAATGCAAGTGATAATGATGGTGATAATGCAGATGACGTATCTATGGCTACAAATCAAAATGAAAATGAAACAACAAAAGATGATAATCAATCCGAAAATGAAGTTGAAGAAGAAGGTAAGACTTTTATTTTAGATATTCCATAAAAGGCCATCACTTAAGTTTCATGTTCTTTTCTTATCAAAACAAATAAGTACTTTAGCTCGATGAAAAAAAAATCAAGATTGTTTTATGTGATATAGTATAAGAAGTTGACAAGAGAGTATTTCTTAGTGTCAATATGCTTTTTTTTTATCGACACTATGTACATTATATAGATCCGAATTACTTTCGAAAGTCTTCTCAGAGATATGAAGCTTTTAAAGAATTTATACGATATTCACTATTTGCGCAAAGGGAATTGTGCCTTGAAATGGGAAGCAAACAATAAAGACTTCGAGCTTTTCTTAAGTGTCGGAAGCTTCATATCTCGAAAAAACTTTATCCGAAAATTGCGAAATTGTTTACGCAAGCTAATGTCCGCACCAAAATTAAAGAGAAGTAGGCGTCATGTCAATAATTCGACAATGGCAATAGCTAGTGATCTGCAGTTTTCAACAATTGTAAAATGAGACGTGCGGACGTCTTTTTATCTAATAGTATATGCGACAAAATTGTTTTAAAATTCATTATCTTCGCAAAAAATAAAAAAATGCATGGAAATGGTGTTCACTTTGGATGTAATTTTCATTTTGATATTAACTTCAGATCTATAGTTCAAAACACAATTCAGGTAACTATCTACTCATATCTTAATGTTGAGCAAGCAAAATTACATATCTATTCGGTCAAATAATAGAAATTTTTATTGCATTTTAACAAAATTTTCCTTGAAAAGAAGGATTGTTTTCATGCATTTTTTTAAATGTTTTTGAGATGACGATAGATTAGATTGCTAAGTGGTGTGGTTATCGAGTAATTAATCTTACAGCCACTCATCTTGAATTCTGGAACGAACATTAGCTTACGCGAAATGTTTATTAGTATAATATTTAAAGAATAAGAATCAAACATAACTTAGTCCTACACATCTCTTGTCTCAATACAAGATTGAATTGACGTTTAGGAATGTTTGTTCGTAAGTTTCGAATGCTGATTAATATGTAGTATGATAGTTATGGTTAAAAAGCATGAAGGTTTTTTCGAAAATTAATAATTTTTGTATGCATGACTGTTTTTTTTTTCAGTCAATTTTGGAAACTATTCAACCGTAAATTGTTTGATTTGAATTGCTTCTTATGAATTTATTAACAAAAAAATTATGAATAAAAATGTAATAGAAATTGTATTCGATCGAAAGAATATTTTAATGTTTTATTTTCTTCTTAATCTTTGTTACATATCTATTTCAAAATATGCGCTTAACTCATAAAAAATTCTACTCTATCATATTTATCAAAGCTGAATCGTATTAGAAACTTAATATTTGCATTCTTCAAATATTTGTACTCATCATGAACTAGAAGGAAACCTGACATACTGCTCAATTTTCATACTGATTAAATCATGTCGGTTTCTTTTGACAGGATATAATAAAACACGTTGAACTCTATAAATAAATGTCTATTAAAGAAATATTCAAACCTTTTTTTTTAGTTGAAATAAAATCTACAAAGAAAATAAATATCAAAGTCAACATGAAGGATTATGAATTTTTCTATGGAAAAATCTGCTTGATGTTTTAAATAAAACTATTTGTTTTTTTTTTGAATGTTCCTTTTGTTATAGAATCTTGACAGGATAATTTTGAGATAGAGCATACAAAACTGTATTGAGAAATATAGCTCAATGCATGTTCCTCCATGCAATTGTTCATTCTCAATTTAAAAGTCACGCTTTCGAGCTTCTACAGTAAAAAAAACATTGGAAAAAGAAAGTCAAGCAGAATTTCTTTGTCAAAACAATGGATAGTCCTTGTCAAATACTATAAGTTTTCATATTATTCATTTCTAGTTTATATGTTAATAACTGACGTATTAGACTTATGAAGAAGTCAAAAGGAAACAGCAAGCTTTTATAAATTTTCCAGTTCACTATTTCTAATTTGTCTAAGAACGAAGATTTTTTCCTCTTCAAAATTTCCTTTTTTTGTCTAATACATGTTTCTGTGTCATGTCATAGCATGCCACTCAAAGCATACATAATTGTGACATTTCTAGATCTTTCATGCTTCATTTTCTCGGTGAGTGGTTCAATACAATATTTAAATTTCTATATATAATTAATTATTAGAATATTGGCAAAACGATTATAAGCATGAATTAAATAAACTCAACTTTGACAATAAGCTTTATATAAACTTTAATGTTTAATTATGTTATTTTTATGACTTCACATAAATTGAAATATAAAATTTATCGTTTTGAATAACACTTAGTAACTTTCTTTAAGGTTATAAAATAATCTAAATCTTGTTTTATTTTTGTTTTTCTTTAGCTGATCAGAATAATAATGAAAATGAAAATCAAGATGAAAATGACAATCAAGACGAAAATGAAAATCAAGACGAAAATGAAAATCAAGACGAAAATGAAAATGAAAATGAAAATGGTAACGAAAACGACAATGAAAATGAAAATCAAGACAAAGATGATGGCATGGCTCATTTACCATTAACTTTACAAGATATTATACGAAAAAAAGCAAAGAAAAATAAGAATGCAAAATCTTATTTACTTCAAATTCCTCGCTATCCAGCATTGTGTGAATTTCTTCGTGATAAATCTCGTACATCGTTTGATCATCGTCCGAGTGAAAATCAAGTTCGTCCACTTATTGCCAATCATTTAAGTCAACATTTAGCTAATGATGCCAAAATCCGTATGCGTCTACGTGATGAACTGCGTGAAATACATCGATCATACATGAGAACATTCATGGATGATCCACATGCTACTGGTGCTAAACTATCTTTCCATCGACATAAACGACTTAAACTGAAAAGAAGTCCTATATAAAAACTAAATATGTTTGTTTCTTTTATTTTGCGTCCAATATTGTTCTCTTTTTTGTATAAATCATCGATTTACTTATTCTTATTATAACAATAAAGATAAAGAAATTATATTGTGAATTGAAATGAGTTTGTTTTGTAGTTCTGAAATGCGCTTGATCATTAGTGTAATCTTTTTTTTTTCTTCTTATCAGTTTTTTTTTGGAAAAAGCAAATTCTCTTAAATAAAGAACCAAGAAACTTAATCGTTTAATTGAATTGTTCTTTTGAATAGTTAAATAATAAAAATAACATTAATGCTTAGCAAAGCATTTTTAAAATATTTACAAGCATTAACAATAATCTTTGTTTGTACTTAATGTCAAATAAACTGTACAAGGATTAGTTACTTCTGTCAATCAAACAAGAAATTTTCTATTCAAATAAAATTATTATTCAAGACAAAGATGAATAAACAAATTAAAGTGTTCAATTATTTATTATAAAGAGACGTTTTAGATCATAAAAATACTTAATGTTTTAATATAGAATGATTAACTTAGTTTTCTACGATGGTTGAGAGGAAGAGAAAGACGATAAGGTCATTGTGTACTTCCTTTCTTTTTATGCACTATAGCTAATAATAAGATGGGATGAAGATTTGCGTCTTTTGGAACAATCTTTTTGTTTAAATCAATCATTTGACAAATCCATATTAACAATTTTATTTAAGTCAAAAGAATTAAATTGATGTTTAACATAAAATATTTGTTTTGCAGTCTGTAGGTATAGTTTTTTTTCCTTAGCAATCTATACCACAAAACTTGTAATATACATTGAATACTGGATAAATCACTTTACATGTTCAATAACGAATTATTGACAATGATTTGTTTTTACATTAATTAATCATAATTTTAAACTATTAAATTTGATTTTTGAAAAAGAAATTCATTTTTAATCTGACTATTAAATAAAGTCTTGTGTGTATCTCAACCAAATTCGATATTATTAAAAAGTTACTTTTGTTTTTACTTTCGCCGATAACAAAAAAAATTTGAATCCTAATTGCGAGGAATAATTTGAGCATTATATTTCCATAAAATAAAATATTTTATGTACAAATAAGGCGTACCATATGAGAAAGAGAGAGATAGTCTGTGAAGAATTGAACATACTGTTCTTAAAAAAAAAAAAAAAAAGAAACTTCAATACAATAGCAACAGTGAAGAAAAAAACATATCAATCAATTATATGATTAAACAAAAAGATTTTATATATATACACGTATATTATTCTAAACCGTTGTATTTAATGACTTGTTTTGGTTTGGTTTGGTTTTCTTTTTTCATTATAACTGACGAAATGAGTGTAATGAAAAAATAAAAGGAAAATAATAGAGATTCAAGTTTTAGTCTATCTAAAGCATATCCGCTACTTGACATGAACCAGATATTTCCGGTTTGATACACATATTACACATTGGACATGTACAATTTCGTTGTAACCATGGTGATAAACAACGTTTATGAAATGCATGTTCGCATGGACATACAGCTATTTCTTCATCTTGATAAAAATCATCGAAACAAATCACACAACTCTATATGAAACGGGAAATTTTCTTTGTTGATGTTCATGTTTAAAAAAAGTCGAAAGACTTATAAAATACAAAAAAAAAGAAAAAACTTACGGAATTTTTTACTTTACATCGCATATATTGATCTTTTCGGTAGCCTTTTTCACGAAATGTGTCTCGTCTAAGTCTAGAATTTCATGAAAACAAATTGATAGAATTTTCTTTTTCAAAATAAGAATATTTACCGCCATAAATAACAACAAAAACATAGACTTAAACATAATGTGGTCAAGCCGACCCCAAATATTGGTAATGAAACAGTATTCGGTATTGATGTTAATATATTACCCATCTTCTTTTATTTTATTTGTGAAGATTAAGAAAAATTTGAGCAACATGTTTTTTTTCTGCCAGTAATGTCCATAGGAATATAATGAATATTATATTGATGTCGTTCTTACATCTAATTATAGTTATTATTTATTGTGTTTATCTCTTTTTTTTCCTCTCTCTCTCTCTGTTGCTGTCACTCTCTTTCTAAAAAAAAACACATTTGGATTGGCTTAATTAATTATTAAAAAATAATTCTTTTAAATTTGTATTTCATAAAGAAACGCTTTTAACTAATTTATTCAAAATAATCTCAATTATCATCTGTATCAAAAAAAAGGGAATATACTTGTTATACTTCACTTATAAGCTACCAAGATGATATTCGTTTATATGCGACATCTATTTATCATAATAATTCTACTGTAATATAGTCTACTGTAATACAGTCTTCTGTAATCCTATAATAATTATTTGTTTTCTTTATATCTCGAATTTCATTAACAGTTGAGTGTTACTGTTAAAATTCAACAGTGTTGAAAATTTATTTTGATAATCGATTGATATAAGAAAACTATGTAACGTTATCTTAAACAAATTACAAGCCATGTCGATTGATAGGCCTATCAGTATTGTCATCGTAGTTTTGTCATATACGACTATATACAGTCCAGTATGACACGGAAACGGACCTTATGTTCTCGTATTAGTTTTGCAAATCGTAATATGGCGCCGTATACGATATAGTAGTTTTACCAAATACGTTCATAAATGAGTCGTAATCTGATTTTGATGCGGCTTTATTACTGATCGTAGAATTACTGACAGGACACAATCCGTTTTCGTATCATTCAACTAGAAAAGTTTCATACTAAAACATAATTTCCTAATTCCATCATATTCAGTACTAAAAATATCAACATTATTCACATATTTCTAAAGTTTTTCATATTCCATGTTATTAATATATTCTGACATCATTGTCATATTTTGTATTAGCTGAAGATCACTAATATAGAGACTTCAGGCCTTCATAAACATAAAACATTGCCTAAAGTTTTTCTTATATCTAAGAATTCAATTGTTCTTGTTTATTAAGCTATAATGCTTGCGGATAACATTCCTATAATAATCAAGAAGAATCTCATCGTGAAAGCTGTGGATATGAGTGAATGATGGTCTTCTTGTTTTTCACCTACTCACACTCCAAACTTTTTTGTCAAACTTTTGTTAAATTCTTCCTCTAGAACACATTTAAGTGTCTTCGAACAAAGACAAGCTAATGGTATTTTCGTTTATTTGAAGATTCAAATTACACTTGATACAAATATGTAGAGACTAATTGAATGATGCAAATTCGGGTTATAGAGATATATGCACTATTACTTTAACGCTTTCTGATGTTAACTAATTTCTGATATCTGGATGAGGATAAATTCTAGAATCGTGGTGAAAAAGTTCTACAGTTTTGTGTATTTGATGACTTCTTTTGTTTTCATATTCTATCGATAACAGGTTTAAAAGTAATTTTCAATATAAGATTTGTTATCTATAGTCTTGTCTTTATCTCCACTAAGTATAAGAAAAGAAGCATTGGATTTAAAGACGAGACCCAATTCAGTTTGTCGTTCAAGCCTACTTTGGCGAATAATAGTCATTGACAATTGATCTTTACTAATGTAGCTAATGTTAGTGGACTTGTACTCAAATCGTCTATGATAAATCTAATTATATGTTATCATCTGTAATGTAATTGCATAATTAACATGATCTACAATAGAATTTCACCAAACTTTCACGACAAATTTTTAGCTCATTCTTGGTTTTGTTCATTTTTAAGTTGATGAGCTATCCAATGAGCTGTGACTATACGGATCTTTTTAGACAATTATAAATAATTTGTTCTAGTCCTAGCTATGCTATTGTCATAAATCGAATATAGATCAATATTGCTAACCTATCATATTAGTTTAATATATATATTTTCAAGCTCTGAAATTGTACGACCAGATTGATAGTCATCATTGATATCTTCTCTTTCTTGATGTACACGTTGAGAGGTAATTATGGTTGCAGATTCAAATACTACAACTAACTCGGATCAGCGAAAACATTATTTAAAGAATCATGATTTTCTTTAAAAATCCAGCAGTTTAGGTGATTTATCACTATATACTCCTACGATTAATCGAGCTAATCAATCACGATGAAATCACTGATTTTTATGCAATTTTGATGATATGGGTACTTACTTTTCTACTCTTTTGAGGACATGAAAGACATGCCTGTCATGTAACATCATACTACACAGTTTTAAATAGCTATTACAGTAAAATGAGATGATGCTCGTGTGTAACAGGTTACGACTTGTCTTTGTTTGTTTTGTATTGATTGATATAAGGCTACTAATACATATTTAGTACAAACGTTCAGGATATAACAAATTATCTAATTCTAAAAATAGCTTCGGAGTCATTCTTTTTCAGAAATAGTTACTTAAGTATCTGTGAATAAATAGTATGTGTCGAAAATTGTTACTGAATTGAGATCAATTAACAATTTTTCCAATATCGTGACTAATCATCCAAATCAAGGCTATTCTTACGATATGAGTTTGTATTCATTGTTAAAATAAGTCCAAATTTTACTAAAGTATCGATTGAATTCATTATACATTTTGCAATTTTTTTTCAAATAAAACTGAATTAACTAAACGAATAATAGAGTTATCACATATAGCATAATACTGAATAAGACATTTTTCTATTTAATTATGCAACAAACATTTTAATATTAACTAAGTTTTGAAATTGTCAGCAATATATTATCATAAACTCTGCTCAGTTCGAACGAGAAAACGTTTTCATTTGATCAATTGCTTTTGACTTTGGACTCTATGCATAAGGTAGACTCTAGTGAGGTATGGACAATCTCGAAATGATACATTCCGTTAGGTCTTCTGTCCAGAATTCTGCGCATTTTATTGGATATTTTAGTCAATGGCATCAATTATATACCAATAAATCGACTGACGGTACTTTGACCTGAGCTGTGTCTACAGACAGACCTATTGATCAGTAAGAATATCCGGAAAATTTCAGAGTCTTCCGTGAAATATGAGTGAATTTAGTGCTAAAATGTTTAGCGCATTTTACTCATAAACAGATCTGTCTATGAGCAAAGTCTCAGGTCGAAATATCATGATTTGATTTATTGATATAAACCATACCATAAGTTAAAATTTCAGTAAAATACGTTTAATGTTGGATAGAAGGCTTGAGGAAATTCATCATTTTGAGATTTTTCATGTTTCACTGATGTCTACTTTATGCATAGGCTCCGAACTCAAAAGCGATTGATCAGTTGAAAATGTTCTTGCAAAGTAAAGCATCGAGATAAAGCACATACATAACACACAATTTTATTAAGAATATAATAAATATTTTAATCACTGTTACCCTGCTATTCTGCAAGAATTGATGATATTACTAGGTAAAGTGGTATTCGAGATTAGACAAATGTAGTCTGACTCTAAGGATTCTAACCTTATTGATTCTGTCTTTCTTCTGAAAAGAATCGAGACGATTATTATATTGTACAATTTTAAAAATCAGCAAAAATACAATATTTGACTTACATAAATATATATGATTATGATCATGTAGTATGACATGATGTGCATTTTTACAATCATATAAAACATATTTCATATTTATTTATTGACTCTTTTCAAACTTAATCTGATGATCATACAGGTGTTAATGTTCTGATATAAATTTAAAAAATTATTGTTTTCTCATCAAAAACAAAACATGCATTTCCTCTGAATACGATGTCCATTTTTCATATCTTTTTGAATATCATGTCATAGTATCGATGATGACGAAGTTTTGATATTGTAACCATAAAATGAGCACAGATTGATCGATTATCAAGAACTATTTTCTAATTATCTAAGAAAATCGATTTCAAACGAAACCATATAAATGCCAGAAAAAAAAATATTCACATGTAAATAACAACGTCTATAATGCTCTTCATTCCCTTACTTCTTTCTTACAAGCATACTTCTTTATGCAATGACTTTTTTTTTTCATTCATTTTTTTTCTTCGTTTGTTAAATCAAGAATATGCCACTCATCTTTCATTTGATGTTGTAGTTTGACAGACAGAAGCTATGCTATTGTTTGATTAAAATACTCATATTTGTGTAAAGAACACTGATACGTAAAGAAAAGAAACATAATGGCAATTTGTTAACAATCATCAAAAAGTAATGGCTGTTGCAACTACCGATATTTTTCTTTGTTCATCATCTTTGTAAGTAAAATCATTTTTTTATTAAAACAATAAGAAATGTAACTATTCATATTGACAACTTTCTTTAAATTATTACGAAGGTTTTTGTCATGTTGATAAGACATAGCATGCATATATTATTAGCCAAATGCACACGATTTGCATATAAATACAGAATAGAAACATATAAAGAAATGGAATGAAAATTTAAAATTCTTAAGATATAATAAATTATTTTATTGAAAATAATTTGTTGAAGCCATCCAAGTTGTGATCTCTATACATCTAGGGATGAATACAGTGATGAAATATGTATGTTCTTATAAGTTTAGTTACTAGAATTTTTTTCATATAAACTATTTTATTCTAGTAGAGAAAAATTTAGAGTACGCTTAATATTTTATTCAATTTTCTCAATGAAAGACTTATTGAAAAAATTCTTTTATATCGAATTTCAGGTAAAATTAGTAGGTTACATTGCGGTCAAAAAGTACAGCCGAGAAATGACTAGTTTTAATCATTAAGTATTAATTATATTCAGGGATGTCGTCCAGAGCTCGTCAGGATTGAGAGAGGCTGCTAGAAAGATTTTTGCTAAAGTTAATTAGAGTTAGAGGAAGGAGGGTGTTTGATGAGCAAAAATTATAAATTTTTAAGAAAAGTTCCTATGGTTAGTTTTTAATTATAAAAATGTCATTGAAATTTTATTCATAACTGATTGAA